ATCAACATCTGGAAAATTCAAAATAAGATTTTCCCTGCATTCGTTCGTCGTCGACGATCGCCACAACCACCACGGCCACAAAAACGAGCGCTGCATAAATAAGCGTTCGTTCGTATTAAAAGCGCGAAAATATGATGACGATAATGATGATAATGATTATGATGATGATGATCATGATGATGATCATGATGATCATGATGATCATGATGATGATGACGGTGTAAATGAGCTTATTGAATTCGCCGGTAATAAATCAATCAAAATAGTGAAGATGAATGGAGGAGTAGTGAAGGAAAGAAGATCATCAACACCATCAACACCATCATTATCATCACTTCCATCTCCATCATCATCATCATCATCATCATCATCATCATCATCATCATCATCATCATCATCATCATCATGCACGGATACAGCGATTGTTGAGGATGGGGCTGGAAAATGGATCATAGCCATATGTTGCACTGCTGGACGGAGTGATGATGATGATGATGAAGACGACGACGACGATGATGATGATGATAATAGCAATAATAATAATAATAACAGTAATAGTAATAATAGTTATCATGAAGAAGATGATGATGATAGTGCGGACATTAATGATCCTGATAGCGATAGCGGAAGAAGTTACCACAACCATTTTGTCGTCAACTACACTAATATTAACAACAACAACAGTAATAACAACAATAACAATAATAATAATATTAGTAGTAATAGTTCGACAGTAAAAACCGTCCATAGAAATATTAATCTTGATAAATACAACAACAACAACAACAACCTGTATCGATATAGCGTTGTCAGCAACAACAACATCAACAACATTAACAACAACAATATTAACAACAAAAACAACAACAACAACAACAATAATAATAATAATAACAACAATAATAATGATGAAAATATTTTGGTTTTTCAACAATCCATGGCAAGAGACGTCAAATTTTACTTCATAGGCGCTAAGTATAATCATGACGTAGGCAATAATAATAATTATAACAATAATTATAATAATAATAATAATAATAATAATTATAACAATAATAATGATAATAACAACAATAATAATAATAATCGTCATCGCATTGTTATAAAATACGAAGGTTATTATTATTATTATTTTCTGATTGTTTTTCTTATTATTACTATTTTTCATGTAATGGTAGTAGTAAAAGATTAGTAGTAGTAGTAGTAGTAGTAGTAGTATTAGTAGTAGTAGCAGCAGCAGCAGCAGTAGTAGTAGTAGTAGCAGCAGTAGTAGTTGTAGTGGTGGTATTTTTAACAATAGTTAGACGAATAAATGAATAGGAATGATTGAATGGTCGCCAAGACGAATGAATGAATGAAAGTGCACATGAATGGGTGAATAAATGTATGGATGAATGAATAAATGAACGAACGAACGAATGAACGAACGAATGAACGAATGAATGAATGAACGAACGAACAACCAAAGTAGCAGCGGAATAGAAGATATCAAAAACAGAATTATATACCGTAGTTTAAGAAACAAAAACTGAATAAATGAATAAAATTAAAAAATGAATGAAAAAAAAATTAATGAATGAAAAAAAAAGAAATAAAAAATTAGATTGAATGATTGATGGAACAAACAAACAGATGAATGTCAAGAAGGTAACGTTGGTCAAACAAAAAAAAAATAAACAAACAAAAATGAATGACTGATTGAACAAATCTAGATGAACTAACGAGCGAACGAATGAATAAATGAATGAATGAATGAATGAATGAATGAATGAATGAATGAATGAATGAATGAATGAATGAATGAATGAATGAATGAATGAATGAATGAATGAATGAATGAATGAATGAATGAATGAATGAATGAATGAATGAATGAATGAATGAATGAATGAATGAATGATTGAATGAACGAACGAACAAATGAATGATTGAATGAACAAATGAACGAATGACGAAAAAAAGAACAAACGAACGAACTAGCGAATGAACCAAACAAATGAATGAACGAACGAATGAACGAACGAACGAACGTACAAACGAATGAGTAAAAAATAAATGAATAAAAGTGCAATGAAATAAAGTAATGAATGAAAGAAAGAAAGAAGAATGTATAAAAGAAAGAATGAAGAAATTGAATGAATGATACATTCCATTATAACAGCAACAAACTGTCAAGCAGATGCCTCAATCACGCTCCGATGCTCCTCTGACGTCACAAGTAGGTGATGATGATGATGATGATACCGCAGCTGCAAAGGATGATGATGATGATGGTGGTGGTGATGATGATGGTGATAATGATGATGTTTTTTTGTTAATATATTTATGTTGATGATGATTATTAAGTTTTTACTTATTATTATTCTTCTTATTTATAAATATTCGTGTTTCTCATTAACATAAATTTCATCAAAGATCGGCCCATCTCATCAGAACCGTCCAATCAAAATGAGCCTTCAGAAGTCGTCCTTGACACTCATCCTTTGCCACTGGGTTTCACTATTATCTTCAATCATTTTTCTTCTTTCTTTATTATTGTTAATTATAGACATAATTTATTCATAATTATAATTTTCAAGGCTTGCTATTGGTTGTCGCTATTGGCGTATCAGTTGGCGTCTTTACCGGAGGCCTCCTCCTCTCATTGGTTTCTATTTTTAGCAGCAAGTACTTTATTTATAGTTTTGAATAAATTAATGATTTATAATTTTTACAAATTAATAAACGGTAATAAAATTGAACGAAAGGCAATATTAATATAACACTCATTGAAAGCTTTAGTCCCCAATAGATGAGAACACTTATGCTGTTATTGTTATTATTATTTTAGGAATCCGTTATTTTTGAAACGACAACATCAACAACAACAACAACAGAACTACAATCAACATCCAACTTTCAACTCCACAAAACCTCAAAATTTTGCGCTATATAATGCGTGTGTGTTAGCCACGCGACAGCAGCAGCAACAACAACAACAACAACTTCAACGCAAACAACAACAACAATTGCACGTGACATCAACAGTCAATGACATCAAACCATTTCTCAACAACACTTCAGTCATTCTACAAAACAACACTGACAGACTATCACAATTATCCTCGCTTATGTCATTTAAACACCTAACACCAACAGCAGCAACAACAACGACGACAATTGTATCCAAAGATCACGTGACTATCTTGCCGGAAGTGATCGTAACTTCCGGTTTAATCCGCCCATCCTTTTTTCAGAACACGTGGGACATGGAAAATTTTGCGTGTTGTTCGTGCCCAGCTGGGAAAGATGATCTAAATAAAATTATGAATTCGGTTCACCACCAAGACGATAATAATAATAATTATAATTATGACCATAATTACTATAATAAAATGAGTAATAATTATGATAATTATAACTATAATATCGGTGGTAGACAATCTTACGACGACGACGATTTTGTGGTTATCGCAAATTGGGATGCAAATAATAATATCATTAATAATAATAATAATAATAATAATAATAATAATAATAATAATAATAATAATAATGATAATATATGCCGTAATGATGAGGACAACGCGTTAGATGTTAAAATTAAAAATGCTATAAACACTAACACCGATCTTTATTATGATGATGATGAAGATGATGGTGATGATAATGGTTGCAATAATAATAATAATAATAATAATAATAATAATAATAATAATAATAATAATCAGCATCGTCCATGCGATCAATTTACTAGCGATTGTAACTGCAAATGTCTTAAGACGCCCGACCTGGTGGATCTGAAAAAAATATAAAGATAATAATAGTTATTATTATAATAATATTATAATAATTATTATTATTGTAATTATTATTATAGTTTGTATCTAATAATTATAATTATTATTATTACATTGAAAAAAATTCTTTTATCTTCGCCGAACGGCTTAAAGTTTTACATAACGGTAGAAAATTATTTTCCTTTGAGTCGATAGTTAGAGCTAGACATGCAAGATTTAAATTCATATTTATTTATATATTTATTTATAATTTATTTTTAATATGGTGATTGTTATTATGATTATGAGGAGGAGGAGGAGGAGGAAGAAGAAGAAGAAGACGATGATGACGTCATGATGACGATGTTGGTAATGACAGAACGCGGAATTTGAAAAATTTTAAAGTAGAAAAAATTTGCAGATATTCAAAAAATTTTACATAATCATCATCATCATCATCTTTGCTATCAGTATCATCGTCACCACCGTCATCATTATCACCACCACCATCATCATCAGGATCGTTATCAACGTTCTTCGAGATCCTCGCCGAAACATTCTGACACCTGCCTCTATAAGATGACGTCAAGAGGGTTCAAAGTTCAAGGTCACAGTTAGGTGTTATATATAGGTCAAATGGTGACCTGGATTTTGGCATTCTATTTTTATCTTAGCGGGGAATTTGGCAATTTTCAGCCAATCAGAATGCAAGCATTGAGATCAATCGTCCTTTTTATTTGAATTTAAAAGAGCGATGACCTGAATTTTATTGTTGTTGTTGTTGTTGTTGTTGTTGTTAATGACGTCGTTTTATTGTAAGTTGTTGTTCACGTGACATCACAAAACCTCATACATTCATGTACAATCCCATCCCAAACACGCACGCATAAACATACACACATACATGCACACATACATGCACACATACATGCACACATACATGCACACATACATGCACACATACATGCAAATTTCCATACAAACTTATACAAACATAGTCTTCTTGCCTGAAAGATACAATTTTTCTCTCTCGTTCCTCGTTCTCTCTCATTCTCTCTCTCTCTCTCTCTCTCTCTCTCTCTCTCTCTTTCTATCAATCTATCCATCTTCCTCTCTTTCTCTCTCTCTCTCTCTCTCTCATTCTAAAGAAAAAAGAGTCAGAAAAATATATGAAACAAACATTCACACTCAACACTACAAACAGACACACACGAACAAACTTTGAAGCAAAATTTTTTTTAATAAATTGGTTATCAAATAAAGTATCAAAGACAGACAGACAGACAGACAGACAGACAGGTAGACAGGCCAACAAACACGCACACACACACACACACACACACACGCGCGCACACACTTTGTTGTATCTTTTCTTTTTTGTGACGTTCATAATTTCTTGAACAAACAGCATTCGAGATTTTATATTGAGCAAATACATCTTATGGCACGTGTTTCTGCTAGAAAAAAATATATTGTTGTTTTTATTAATAATAATAATAATAATATTTTATTATTGTTGTTGTTTTTATTATATTATATTTTATTTTATTGAAATATATGTACATTTATATTGTCATTTTCGTATAAAAGTTTATTTTGCTCCTTCAGAAAATATCGAGTGTTGGTTTTTTGCTTAAAAAAATGTTTGTAAATCATTTTTACATAATAATTCATTCGTTCATTCATACATACATACATACATACATGCATACATACATACATACATACACACACACACACACACACACACACACACACACACACACACACATAAATACATACAAACATACATACACGTGCCGATGTAGTGCTGGGGCGGACGAGTTAGAGTTTTTTAAGGTAGGGCAGCGGACGAGAAAATGAAGAAATATAAAAACGCCCTCTCCTCGATGGAATTTTCGCCAAAATGTATCGAAATTATCGGCCCGATGGACCCTACACCCTTAAATTTCTTAGGGTCATATGTAAACAAATCAGCATCAGATCAGGCGACAGTAGGGAACAGTTCTTCGCAACTAACCATCACATTTCGGGCTTGTTGCAGCGGTTCTTGCGTGTCTGTGTGTTGGAGGATATCCAATTGAATTCCGACTTGTGCAATTAACGACAAATCTATCAACGTCATTCATCCATTTCGACTTTTTTTTAATAAAAACAAAAAAGCTGAATAATTTTTCGAACTATTTTAATATTTCAAAATGTTTTTAAGAAATTCTAACAAAAATAATTTCTTTTTTTCAAATTGTGCCAAAAAATCAAAAAAATATATAAAGAGGTCTTAGCCAGGTTTTCATAATAGTGTGATGTCACAACAAACGTTAAGCTCTTCTTTATCATCGTCGTCATCATCATCAGCATCCTTGCTATCATTATCAGCATCATCATCGTCGTCGTCATCATCATCATCACTAAGCCAACATGCAGCGAGCGAACAGTTAGATGTGCAAACAAGAAAACTCCGAGATAAACCGATTCCTATTCTCTCTCTCTCTTTCTCTCTCTCTCTCTCTTTTTCTCTCTCTCCCTCTCTTTTTCTCTCTCTCCCTCTATCATCCTCTTTTTCTTTCTCTCTCTCTCTTTCTCTCTTTCTCCCTCTTTAACTTTCTTTGTCTCATTTGTTCTTTTTTTTGTATGTATATATATATATATATATATATATATATATCTCACTTCCGATCATTCTTTAAAAATTGTTATTTCTTCCACATGTTCTCAAATTCAATCGCTCACTCTTTTCTCTCTTTCTCTTTCTCTCTCTCTCGCTCTCTCACTCTCTTTTTTCTAATTTCATTCTTTCATTTTCATTTATTTTTTCATCTTTCCTCCTCTTTTTCTTCCCTCCTTCTCATCTCTCCATCCTTCCTTCCTTCTGCTGACCTATCGCACTGCGTCATATGCCTCTTACGCGTTGTCATGGCAACTCGGACGCTTATTTTTTATCTTTGGATGATGATGACGATGATGGTGATGATGACGACGATGACGATGATGATGACGATGATAACGACGAAGAAGTTACTGATAATGATGATGGTGATGGGGCTGATGATGATGATGATGTGGTTGTGAGATATTTGAAAATTTAACAACAGCAATAACACGATCACAATAACAACAACAACAACAGAATAACAACGATAATAATAATATCAACAATAAGTTAGACCAATTGTCTGATTTTGAAATCTTCGATCGGATTAGAAGTTTTGAGATGTTGTTGCTGTTGTTGTTGCTGTTGTTGTTGTTGCTGCTGATGTTGTTGCGGTTTTTGGTATATATGTTGTTGTTGTTGTTGCAGCTGCTGTTGATGCTGCTGTTGATGTTGTTGTTGATGTTGTTGTTGCAACTCATCATAAACCCCTTCAAAACCCAGCTGCAAATCGATAAATGGCGATTCTATCAATTCCCTGGCTGCTGATTGGTCGGATTTCGAGACCTGCTTATCTCCTATTGGCTGAAAATTTGAAGTCGGAGGAGTGATTGAATTTATAAATTCTCTTTTTTTCTTCTTGTCGGTTAGCTGGTCGGCGCCTTGAGCTAGTTTCAAATAATTTTAGCCATTCTTAGTATCAAAAAGTGTCTATTGTTATTATTTTCATTGTTAATAATATCACACAAACACACACACGCGCACACACGCACACACACACACGAAAATACATACGTACACACATACACACAAACAAACACACATACACACACACACGCGCGTCAAAGAGCAAACATTGTAACGTAAAACTATTTTGGAACTCAATTTCCGGCCCCATTGTCACCGTTTAGTGACGTCATCACAACGGATGGATAGATGGATGGATGAGTGATGGATGGGTAGATAAATGAGTGATATATAGATTGGATGAAAATGAATGAAAGAATGAATTGATGGTTTGATTGATGAAAGGATTAATGAATTAATACGCCTAAGATAAAAAAACTGGCAAATGAATGAATGAATGAATGAATGAATGAATGAATGAATGAATGAATGAATGAATGAATGAATGAATGAATGAATGAATGAATGAATGAATGAATGAATGAATGAATGAATGAATGAATGAATGAATGAATGAATGAATGAATGAATGAATGAATGAATGAATGAATGAATGAATGAATGAATGAATGAATGAATGAATGAATGAATGAATGAATGAATGAATGAATGAATGAATGAATGAATGAATGAATGAATGAATGAATGAATGAATGAATGAATGAATGAAAAAATATATAAATAACAAAACAGATAGACAAAACAAAATAAATTTTCAGATATATAGATAGATAGATAGATAGATAGATAGATAGATAGATAGATAGATAGATAGATAGATAGATAGATAGATAGATAGATAGATAGATAGATAGATAGATAGATGGAGGAATTTTAAAAAGCGAATGAATGAATGAATGGATGAAGATGAATGGGTGGGTAGAGGAATGAATGAATAAAAGGTAATTGTTTGGGATTGAACTCTTGGTGACGTTGATGACAATAATAACAATAATAATAATAACAATAGTAATAATAACAGCAGTTATATAATGGTTGACGGGATGTTAACCGTCCAAATCTTACCTGCTATGACCTCAAAATTCGTTACATTAATAATAAAAATAAGAATAATAATAAGATTATTATTATTATTATTATCATTACTAAATTGAATTAACAACAACAACAATAACAACAACAAAAACAACAACAACAATAATAATAATAATAATGACACATATACATGACAGCGGGATGTTTTTTACGATTCAAGTGGCAACAAATGCTCCTGATGACGTTTGTGGTGAATGAATGAATGAATAAATGAATGAATGAATGAATGAAGAAAAAAATGAATGAATGAAAAAATGAATAAATAAAAAAGTAGTGGACGAATTAACGGATGAATGAATGAATTGATTAATTAATAATTAGATAAATCAATAAAAAAATACTCAAACGATCGAATAAATGAATGAATGAATGAATGAATGAAGGAATGAATGAATGAATGAATGAATGAATGAATGAATGAATGAATAAATGAATGAATGAATGAATGAATGAATGAATGAATGAATGAATGAATGAATGAATGAATGAATAAATGAATGAATGAATGAATGAATGAATGAATGAATGAATGAATGAATGAATGAATGAATGAATGAATGAATGAATGAATGAATGAATGAATGAATGAATGAATGAATGAATGAATGAATGAATGAATGAATGAATGAATGAATGAATGAATGAATGAATGAATGAATGAATGAATGAATGAATGAATGAATGAATGAATGAATGAATGAATGAATGAATGAATGAATGAATGAATGAATGAAGACAGAATGAATGAATGGACTAGAGAATGAATGAACAAATGAACAAATGAACGTATGAACGAATGAACAGATGAATGGAGAAATGAAAGAATGAACATGATGACAGATGGACAGACAGACTATCAGCGATAGCACTCTATGCCAGGGAATCAGCGTTGGATTATTAGCTAGTTGGTTATTGTTGTTGTTGTTGTATTGTTGTGAAGATGTTTGCGATGTCTTGTTGTTGTTGTTGCTGCTGCTGCTGTTGTTGTTGTTGTAGTTTTTGTTGTTGTTGATAATGATAATGATGATGGTGTTGATGCTGAACAAAGGAATGAACAAAAATTAAAAAAAAAATGAAGGAATAAAATTAATTAGTGCATTACATCATTGTTAATGATTTTATAGATGATCGATTGAGCAAACGAATGAATGAATGAATTAATTAATAAATGAATGAATGAATGATTGATTGATTGTTTTACGGGTTGATTGACAATTGGCTAGGCGGAGTCAAGCTGAGTGTAAGTCTGTTAACTATTAATTGTATTTTTGTGAACTATTTGGCTACTTGTTTGTGCCAATATGAATACATGCGCGTATATAAACTATATATATATATATATATATGTGTGTGTGTGTGTATGTGTGTGTATGTGTATATGTGTGTGTATGTGTATGTGTGTGTGTGTAAGTGTGTGTGTGTGTGTATACGTTATACGTTATACGTGTGTGTGTATGTGTGTGTGTGAGTGTGTGTGTGAAAATAATTTATGTAAAAATAGCCTTAGGGTTCCACTAAACCATTACAAATTCTTATCTAACTTTCAATTAATATTCACGATAATAAATAAAATATTATTATTGTTATTATTATTATTATTATATGTGGCCTATTTAGCCAGCCACGACTC